GTGCAAATTGAGGTAAATCAAGGTCACAAGGACTTTAAACTATTAAAGGGGGAGAGAATTCAAGAGAGGTTATTAAAGTTTCCAGAACAAGTAACAGGACAGAGAGTATGGAAAGAGTCAGAAGTCTAAATTCAGGCGTATCAGACAAGGGAACAACTATGAGAATGGGGACAGTCAACTGAGGTTTTGTACTTAAATGTGCACAACATATGCAACAAGATAAATGAGCTTGTAGCGTTGATTGAAATTGGCAGGTACGATATTGTGGGTATCACAGAGATGTGGCTGCAAGGGGTTTGGGGCTGGCAACTAAATATCCAAGGACACATGTCTGTTGAAAGGACACACAGATGGGCAAAGGGGGAAGGGTTGCCTTGATAGTAAAAAAATGAAATTAACTTGAAAGCAAGAAGTGATACAGAGTCAGAAGGCATAGAATCTGTGTGAGTGGATTTGAGGAACCACAAGGGGAAAAAATCCCTGATGAGACTTATGTACAAGCCTCCTAGCAGTAGTCAGGATGTGGGGCAGAATTCATATCAGGAGATAGAAAAGACCTGTATAAAAGGCATTATTACAATGATCATGGATACTTAAATATGCATATGGACAGGAAAAATCAGCATTCTAAGAAAAGAACTTAATGAAATATCTACAAGATGTTTTTTTGGAGCAGCTTATGGTAGGGCCCACTAGGAAAAAGGTAATTCTGGATTTGGTAATGTGTAATGAGGCAGACTTGATTAAAGACCTGAACGTGAAGAAATCCCTGGGCAGTGACCACAATATGATTGCATTCACCCTGTAATCTGTAGTTTGAGATGGAGAAGGTAGAATCAAATGTAACAGTATTACAATTGTGTAAAGGTAACTATAATGACATGATGGAGGAGCTAGCCAGAGTTGATTAGAAGGGGAGCCTAGTAGGGAAGATGGAGGAGCAACAATGGCAGGAGTTTCTGGGGAGTATTTCTGGGAGGTAATAATGAATTGGGAAATTCATCCCAAGTAAGACGGAACATATGCAGGGGAGGATGAGGTAACATGGTTGACAAAGGAAATCGGTGACCGCATAAAAGCAAAAGGCAAAGTATACAAGGTGGAGAAGATTAGTAGAAAGCCAGAGGATTCTGAACCCTTTAAAAACCAGCAGAGGATAGCTTAAAAAAAAAAGTGGTGGGCATGGGGTCTGGGGGAGGGAGAGAAGATGAAATATGAGGGTAAGCTAGCTAGTAAAATGAAAGCAGATTGCAAGAGTTTTTTTTGATATCTAAGAGGTAAGAGTGGACATTGGACTGCTGGAAAATGAGGTTGAGTGGTAGTAAATGGGAACAAAGAAATAGCAGAGTTGGTACTTTGCATCAAAGGCGAACATAATGACCATCACTAAGGAGAAGATGCTGAGGAAGCTGGAAGGTCTGAAGGTGGATAAATTATCTGGACTAGATGGACTACACCCTAAAGTTCTGACAGAGATAGCTGAGGAGATTGTGGAGGCATTGGTGGTGAATTTTTGGGAATCACTGGAGTCTCGGAGATTCCCAGAAGACTGGAAAATGACTAATTTAACACCTCTTTAAGAAGGGAGGGAAGTGGAAGATAGGACGAGTTTCAAGATGGTGCCGACACTGGGTGACTTTTTGTGAGCTCTCTATAGCAGATCTTATTCTCACGTTTCTTACAACTGTTCTGCACTTTTAAACCTCAATTTATGCCTTGGTCTATCTAAACACCCTATGATCTAACTGTCCGTGTATGTTATGACCTGCCTGTACTGCACGCAAAGCAAAACTTATCACTGTACTTAGGTATTTATGACAACAATAAATCAAATAAAATCAAATTATAGGCTGGTTAGCTTGAGCTCGGTTGTTGGTAAGATTTTAGAGTCCATTATAAAGGATGAAATTTCAGAGTACTCGAAAGTACATTATAAAATAGAGCTGAGTTAGCACAACTTAGTAAGGTGAGGCTATTCCTGACAAATCTATTTGTATTTTTTTGAGCTGATAAATTGCAGGTTAGACAAAGGAGAGCCAGTGGATGCAATCTATTTGGATTTGCAGAAGGCCTTTGAAAAGGTGCCGCACAGGAGACTGCTAAATAAGGTAAAAGCCCATGGTGTTAGGGGCAAGATACTGGCATGGATAGAGAATTGGCTGACTGGCAGAAGGTACAGACTAGGGATAAAGGTGTCTTTTTCAGGATTGCAGCCAATGACTAGTGGAATTCCACAGGGGTCACTGTTAGGGCCACAATTATTCGTGTTTTACTTTAATGATCTGGACAAGGAACTGAAAGCATTGTTGCTTCGTCTGCAGATGACTTAAAGATAGATGGAGGGTCAGGCAGTGTTGAGGAAGCAGGGAGGCAAAAGGACTTGGATAGACTAGGAGAGTGGGCAAATAAGTGACTGATGAAATACGTTGTGGGAAAGTGTGAGGTTATGTACTTTGGTCGGAAGAATAGAGGCATAGACTATTTTCTAAATGGGAAAAGGCTTTGGAAATCTGAAGCACATAGGGACTTAAAAGTCCTTGTTTAGGATTCTCTTAAGGTTAACATGCCAGTTCAGTTGGCAGTTAGGAAGTTAGTATGTTAGTATTCATTTTGAAAGGGTTTGAATACAAGAGCAGAGATATACTGCGGAGGCTGGATAAGGCTCTGGTCAGAGCAGATTTGAAATATTGTGAACAGTTTTGGGCCCTCTATGTAAGGAAGGATGCACTAGTCTAGCAGGGGGTCCAGATGAGGCTCAAAAGAATGATCCCGGGAATTAAGGATTTGTCATATGAGGACCGGTTGAGGATTCTGGTTCTGTACTCAGTGGCATTTAGAAGGATTTGGGTGGATCTCATTGAAATTTACAGAATACTGAGAGGCCTGGATACAATGGATATAGAGAAGGTGTTTCCACTAGTAGGAGAGACTAGGACTTGAGGGCACAGCCTCAGAGTGAAGGGACAACCCTTTTGAACAGAGAAGAGGAGGAATTTCTTCAGGCAGAGGGTGGTTAATCTGTGGAACTCATTGCCACAGAAGACTGTTCTAGCCAAGCCGTTGAGTGTATTTAAGACAGACAGGTAGGTTCTTGATTAGTAAGGGGATCAAGGGTTATGTGGACAAGGCAAGAGAATGGGATTAAGAAACATATCAGCCATGATCGAATGGTAAAGCAGATTCGGTGGGCTCAATGGCCTAAATCTGTTCCTATATCTTAAGGTCTTATAAAGTATATAGTTGATTTGTTTGATGATCTAGACAGAGAATATGTTAGATAGCTGATTGAATTTGATGTTAGTAGGTCAACAGTATCAGAGGATGTATCCGAAGCAATTGCATCATCTTCAAATCCTTCTCAAGTGCAGTGGTGGTGTTGGGTGATTTGAGAATTGTTAATGTTTTGACTTTGATCAAAAAAGTGTTTAATGCTGACCCCAGCAACCTCTGGACTGTCAGAGTAACTAAGTGATGGTCAATCTTTTAGAATGATAATCCAAAAAAATTACTCATCACATAACACAAAAAGAACTACAGATGCTCGAAATCTGAAAAATAAACAGACATGCTGGAAATACCAGCAGCTGTGGCAGCAGCTACACAGAGAGAAAGTACTATTTCAAGTTCTGATGAAAAGTCATTGACTTGAAACATTAACTCTCCTTTTTCTCCATAGACGCTGCTAGTCCTGCTCAATATTTTGAGTAATTTCTGTGAAAATGAATGGTCACTTGGATGAATATGCATTAATTAGGGAAAAACAGCAGGGATTAATGAGAAGCAAATTGTGTTCCCTAAAGGTCATATCATAATCATTGCTTTTCTTGTTCATTTATTGATTTTCTAGTCTTTAATCCATATTCAAAATTTCTAGATGGTACAAAACTTGCAAATATTGAGAATTGGGAGGCAGATATTGATAGACCTCCAAAGGGCATAGATTGATGTATGAACATGCGGCAGATGAAATTAATTGCAGAAGAGCCTGAAGTGATGCACTTTAGTAGGAAGATTGAGGAGATGCAAAGGTACATTTTTAAAGGGCATGTGGAAGTAGAAATCAATTGCAATCTGCGTGCAGAGATATTTGAAGGTGGCACAGCAAGTTTAAAAAATTATAATTATAAATCATACAGGATCTTCATTTTAAGCTATAGAATTCAAAGCACGAAATTTATAATAAAGTTGTATGAAATACTAGTTTGGCCTCAACTGGAGTATTGTGTCTAGATTATCTCACAGTACTGTGGATGTGAAACATTAGAGAGGGTGAAGAAAGGATTTACAAGAATTGTTCAAGAGATGAGAGACCACAGCTACATGGAGAGATTTGAGAATCTGCTGTTGTTCTTGGAGAAGAAAAAGTCGAAGGAAATTTGATAGACGTTTAAAATCATGAGAGGGGCCTTGACATAATTATGAGAGAGCAACTATTGCCATTTGTAGGGAATTCGAGAACCAGAAGATACCAACCTAAGATAATCAACATGAGGGAAAACCTTTTCATGTTGTAAATGCAATGTTTGAAAGTATGGCGGAAGCAGATTCAATTGTGAATTTGAAGAGAATTGGGTAAGCAACTGAAGAGGGAGATTTGCAGGGCTCTGGGGAAAGAATGGAGAATGGGACCAGCAAAGTTGCTCCGACAGAGAGTTGGCATTGACATGAAGGGTGAAGTGGCCTCATTCTGTACTATAATCAACTATGGTTCTGTTACACTTTTGGAGTGGTGCTGCACTAAGATTTCCACAATTATGTCCAATGAGTGATTGCTGAAATAGTTTTAAATTATAGCATCTGTAAGAGGTAATTCTTGCATTGATTTAATTTTCACATACATCGTTGACATACCAGAACAATAATATGCTGCCTAATAGTACCTCCTTCTTTATATAGAATAGATTTATTATTTTGAAATTAACTTAACGTCAATTTACAAAATCTTTCAAGCAAAGCAGCCTGATCCTGAATGTAAATAATTTATTTTTTCTCTGTTTTAGAGTTGATCATTGAGATAATAAAGCAGAACTACGGACAAGTACTACATCAATATCAAGAGGTAATTGTTAGCTGGTCAGATCACCATGAATTACAATGTCTGACCATGTTGTTCAAATAATGCTAATTAGTGCATATTCTTCAGACATAAGTCTTTTCTTAAATTTAGTATTTTTGGTACTTGAACAGCTCTGCAAATTTGCTTAAAAAGTAGCAAATACTGGTGGAAATAGCAGTATTTTAGGGAGAGAAACAGAATAATAAAATTCTAGTTTGAAGACTTCTGATTATAACTGGAAAAGTTAGTGATTGAATGCATTTTAAGTAAGTGAAAGGGGGAGGATGGGAGACAAAAGAACAAAATAGAAGGTTGACAATCCTATACAAAAGACTTGATAATACAAAATGAAAAAGATTGGTAATGGGACAAAACACAAAGGATGTATCTAGAGGAGGTGTGAATGGCTGAATTATGAATAGCTACCCTTCAAACAAAAAACAAAGGAAAATAGAGAAACACATAGGAGATAATAAAAAAAAACTGGTAGTAGAAAAGGCAACAAAATAGGGATTACAGTTATGATTTAAAACTGTTAAAAAATGGTTTTGAGCCCAGATGCTGTAAAATGCCCAGTTAAAAAAGGAGTTATTCCTCAAACTTGATTTGAGTGTCATTGTATCATTGCATGAAGCTGAAACATGAAAACTAGAGTGAGAAGAATGTGAAGAATTAAAATAACAGGTAACTGGAAGGTCAAGGAGCACTTGTGGACTGGATGGAAATGTTCTGTAACACAATCAACTAATTAGGATTTAGGAATGTAGCGGAAACCACAAAGCAAGCAGTGAATACAGTATACTAAATTGAAAGAAATGTAATAAGCCATTGCTTCATTTGGGAGTAGAATGTAGGACATTAGACACTGAGAATGGAGGTGATAAAAGAACAGGTGTGCACCTCCTATATTTGCATGGGAAGATGCCATGGGAAGAGAAGGGGTTTATTAGGTGCGGTAGAGGTCTAGACCAAGATATTGCAGAGGGATGGTCCCTTTTGGAATGCTGTAAGTGGAAAGGAAGATGTGTTTGGTGGTGGCATCACCGCATAAGTGATGGTCATGACACAAATGTTGAAGGTGAGGATAAAAGCAGCATCATCATACTTCTGGAAGGGAGAAGAGGTGCTGAGAGCAGAAGTACAAAAAATGGAATAGTCAGGAACCTTGTTGATCACCTATGGGTGTGTGGGAGGAAGGGTGATTTCTCAATTGAAAGAAAAGTAAGCAATAGCATGGAAAGTGCATTGTCAGAGCAGTTGTGACAGAGAGACAGAGTGACTGTGAAAATGAAATGGACCCTGTCCAAGAAGAAGAGTGTGAAGAAATGTAGTCAAGCAAGATGTGGGAGTCAGTGGGCCTATAGTGAATATTGATGGCCAATCCCCTGAAATGAAGAGAGAAAAGTTGAAGAAAGGGAAGGCTAAAACTGAGGTGAACTACACAACGGTAAAAGAAGAATTCACATTCAGGCTAAAGCTTGTGAAAGTTATAGAGAAGTACCAGTTTTGTGATGCACCAGCTTAAAGATGATGTTTGCTACACATTTTAAATAGTCTTCCGATTCTTTTTAATTAAATAATAAACCTGCATTTTGAGCTGAATTTATTTGTGTGATTATTTTATTACAGCTCCATTTCAAACATTTATGATGATTTGCTGATTTGTTTTTATTTTTCATGCATCATTACATTTGTTTGTATGCATCTGCTTTGGCTGTCCAGCCAGAAAAGGTTGTTCTGACTCTACAGGTACATATATGCCTTCTCAAATCTTTTTGTAGGATGATCCTTCACATTTTGATAAGACTTTTAACATCAAAGTACTGTGATGCAAAATTGTTGGTTTAAAAATAAATGACATACTATTGATCGAAATATTCTGCTGTAAGTTAACTTATTAATCTTTTAGGTCAATATACTAGCAGAACTAGAGCTCATTTATGTCAACCATTGTTATTCAGGATGTACTGTGCAAGAGAGTAGGTCACTTACCTGATTTGAGGTGACTCATAACATTGTTGTGAATTAGGTAGAAAATAAGGAAGCTGTGCAAGCCTGAGCTCTCCAAAATAGGTGGAGTTTTTCTGTCATAATCTTGTTCGGCCTTGTTCTTCCCTTTCTTGTTCAAGTAACTTAACTGTATTCACCAGATCCCAAAAAGACTTTGCCCACATTTGTAGATCTGTTTTATTGAGAAAAGATACTTTTTTTAAATGTGAGCACAGCTGGACACTAAAAGTGAAAACTAATAGGGGTCTGTGTGATGTGGGTTATGGCAAGATTTTTGGCAGAATCAGAAGAGAAGCGTGGTGAGGTTGATTTCAATATTGGGAGATTTTTGCTCCATGTTTTATGCTTTTGGCAAGTAATAAACACCTTGTTAACACACAACCTGCCTCATTAACATTCAGCTCCTTTTCTTACTAAATGTGCACATTGTCAAGCGTATTTGACATGGAAGCCAGAGGGGGTACCTGGTGAAATCAGCTCGCTCCTTGTTCCAGACGATCTCCATGTTGGACACTGTGTACAATATGTCAGGGCCTGAATGCCCCACGTCCACAGATATTGGCATGAAGCAATTGCCAGTTTCCTACATATGGCACAGTTTCAATCCACTTGGAGAACACGTCTGCGCATGAATGCTGCACCTGTACTGCAACAGCAACTATCATTGAAATGATGCTACAAGGACACTGTGTACTCATGGCCATGCACCCAGCTCATGGGCAGGACCAGGCTGCATCTTAGGCTCTTCACTTGCTTTCATAGTGCTCACTAACTCTAAGCCTTACCTGATAGTCATAGCATTCCTTCCTTGGCATTACCCTGACTTGCATTTTTGTGCTTTATCCCCCCAGCCAGAGTTAGCAGTCTCATATTGTTTCTGTCTTGCCTTGCCTTTTAGTGCAGGCACAAGGTAGAAAGCTTGTCATAGTTGTTAACAGACCTCAACAAAGCCGAGGGGGTACCTTTCTCAGGGGGTCCCAGTACAGTGAGCCAAGGGAGCCTTCGATACCAGACCAGGGTATTGGATACAATGAGTCAACCAATTGGGATAGTCAGAATCAGGAGGAGGAGCTGAATGTTGAGCAGCCAAATGTTGAGCTGCTGACCTTTAATCTTTCTACACAACTGGGGGCTGCTTTTCTCCTGAAATGAGAGACTGGTAGGTATTATGGAATGAAAGAGGTTGGCATAGCTGTTCCAGTTGGTGCAAGTGGGAAGGTACCCTGTGAGAGTGAGTAGGCAGTACTAAGAGTGTGCAGGTTTATTGGTGTAGGGGGTTAGGTTGGTGACAGTGAGCAAGGAGACATTGCAGGCAATAATGAGAATGTTAGAGATTGAGCATTGGTGGGAGGTGGCCGTGGTAACAGTGATAGAGTGAGTATGAAGTATCGGAAAGAAAACAGTGGCACTTCTGCTGGTGGATTTGAGAAAATCATTGATCTTCCTACGTTGCTGAGCATTCCTCCAGATGACTGAGATGTGTAGCAACCTCAGACCAGGCTGGCATGGTCTAGTGTTGTGGCCTCTACTGCTCATCCTATGGGAAAAGGAAGTTCTGCATCTGCACTGCCCCATCCAGCAGGACCTCCAGAACCATGCCGCAAAGTGGGGTGCTGATTTCCCCCTCGTCTGCTATGTCTGGGGCAAGTGTCAGGAATTGTATAGGTCAGCTCTGGACTGACCGTGTTTGTTCGGGTACACAACAGGCTTTTAAAGATGGTGGAGACACAAGGGATACCAATGAATTCTGGGAAATCCACTGAGTGGTGAGTTGTTCCAGGAACAGTATGCGGTAATATGTGTTAGAATCTGACGTGGGGGGTGCCATAGAGAATTAGCCATATAATCAGATGAGTTTAGTAAGATATAATGAGAAAGCACACTAGGTCTCACAGAGATCTCTCCAAAAGACTCAATGCAACTCAGGTTTAGCCAAAAAAGTAAGAATCAGCACTAATTCATTTGTACTTCAACATATCTTTGCTTTTGTTAATTTTTCTTTTTCTTTTGAGAGATGTTCAGAGGTTGTGCATAATTTCTGAAACCAAATTGAATGCTGAATGAAGCATTTGGAAGGAGTACAGCTTGTTTTATCAAAATGGCATCTTTGATTACAGGGTTAAATTAGCAGGACAGGAGTGTAAGCCTTGTTTACACTGCCTTGAATTTAGAAGGTTGAGGGGCGATCCAGTCTATGTTTAAAAGTAAAAAGGGGTCTGAGAAGGTAGGTGCAGTGAAATGGAACATAAGAATGTAAGGAAGAGGAGCAGGAATAGTCTCTTTGGCTCCTCAAATCTGCTGCATTATTCATAGCTCTTGACTCACTTATAGATTAAAGTTCAGATTTGAAAATATTCAACGATCTGACCTCCTCTGCTATTTGAGAAAGAAAATTCCAAAGACTAATGATCCATTGAGGGAAGAAATTCTTACTCATCTCTCTACTAGATGGGACACCCTTTAAATTGAAACTTTGCCCAAGTTCTTGATTCCCCCTGAGGGAACCATCCTTTCAGTGTCTATCTGAGAAGTTTCCTCAGAACTTATGTGCTGAATCTTTAAGTTTTGTTTTGGCTAAGTCTGAGTCACATCGTGTTTTTTGGAGGGTTTATCACTGTGAAGCCAAGTTAGTTCTCTCACCCAATCTTACCAAACGCACATCATTCGCACCCTACCACGTCACTGCAGTTGTCTGTATGTCCAATTTTCAACCCCAACTTACCATGCATCCTTCCCACAACACCCAAATTTTACTGGCATCCCTTTGCCCACGCCATTTTTAAAAACCTGTTGTGCACCTGGACCAGTACATCAGTCTGGAGCTGCCTTGCCATTAGCCACAAACATGGCTGACAAGGAGAAACCGATACTCTGCTATGTGGGCTGAGACCTGGAGGTCTTGCTGAATGATGCAGTTGTAGGACTTTCTCTGCCTCAGGACCAGCAGTAGTGGCTGTGACACTAGACCATGTCAGCCTGGTCCGAGGAAGCCACCCAGGTTAAATTGTCTCAGCCACCTGGAAGAATGCTTAGCACTCCAGGAAGAAGGTCGGTGTCCTTCTCCACTCTTTCAGGGTAAGGTCCACCATCTTCTCTCTAATACCTCACACTCACTCATTTTCTACTACTGCATCTATTTTGCACCAAGGTTTATGCACCACCATTCTCACTATTGCCTGGAACATCTTCCCCACTCCCTGTTACCTAACCCAACTCCAATACCACTAACCGTGCATGCCCTCTACACTGCCTATTTACTTGCTCCCTGTCATTCAGCTCCTCACCACTTCTGAGGAGAGGAATCTGACTGTGACCATCTGAAGCCAGGCCTGAACTGGTGTCAGAGGATGGCAGACCACCTAAGCGAAGGCTGTCCTCCTTGACTGAGGCCTGTTGACAACCATGGTAAATTTCCTGGCTTTACTCTGTGCCAAACAGCAAAGTAAGACACCAGAAATATGAATTTGGTATCTCTGGATGAGAGGGCAAAGTGCTAAAGGCAATGCAAGGCATGAGCATCCAGATGGGCTCAGAGTGAGTGAATACTATGACAAGAAGCAATGAGCCCAGAGATGCAGCCTGGTGCAGTCCATTAGGTGGTTGTGTATCTCAGAGCACTGTGTCCTTGGCAACAGCATTACAATGATAGTGCAAATTGCAATTTGCACTTGAAGTTGAATTGGAGATACACTGTGAGGTTTCTTGGAGGATGATACATATTGGGTGCCAATGTCCATAGTGTGGCCTGTGCCCATGGAGTGTGCCGTGAGTTGTTGGTACCCAATCTCCAGCATGGAGGTTGTTTGGACAAGCAGCAAGTCCAATTTGCTATTTGCTTGCAGTGATTTTGATGTCAAGTTTTCCCGTCGACTAGCTCATCTGGCAAGTTTGGTAATATGGGAGTCTGAATATCAATGGAGCAAGTTGTGGCATTAACAAAGTGTTTAACAAGCAGAAATTTTCAGTTGGTATCTCACCATTGTCTAGCAAGAATCTTGGCATGCCTCTTGTGAGAAGCCAGAAAGATGGAGCGAGATGATCTCAGTGTTGACATGGGCCTCTTTGTACTCATCACCTAATTCTGCCACACATCTCACCATAGCCCAAACCACTCAGACCCCTATAAACTTTCAGTAAGACTATGTTTCCTTCTGAATTCCAGGAAGTACAGAGTTAAACTGCTCAATCTTTCCTCATGTGCAATTCTTTTATCCCATGAATTAGCCTAGTGAATCTTCATTGAACTGCTTCCAATGTAAGTACATCCCTCCTTAAGGAAATCCTGGCTGTATACAGTACTCCAGGTACGGCCTGACCAATGCCCTGTGCAGTTGTAAAAAGATCTGTCTAATTTCATGACCTTTTCCAGTTCTATTAGATGCCAATGTTCCATTTGCCTGTCTAATTACTTGGCATATCTGTATATTAACTTTTGTGATTCATGTGTGAGGCCATGTAGATTGCTCTGTATCATGGTATTCTACAGTCTCTCACATTTAAAAAATATTCTGCTTTTCAATTCTTTCTGCTAAAGTGGACAGCATCACATTTTTTCACATCATACTCCATTTGCCAAAATTTTACAACTCACATAACTCGTCTATATCCATTTGTAGACACTTCAAAGGACTAGATCTTCTGAGGATTGGAGATTGCCACTCCCCTCCTACTTTTGCTATTCAGAAAGAGTCTGTCAGGCGATTCCGATCAGGCTCCTGCAGAGATGCAGAGTGTGCCTTAAATCTAGCAGATCTCTCTTGGCGCAGCATAGTCAGGGGAAGTCAATTTCTGTTTTTGTTGGCTACATTATACTTTGTCCCTTCATCTAACTCATTACCATGCGTTATAAATAGTTGAACCCTCAGCACTGATCCATGGTTCTACCTAACTGGTTTCAAGATAACCCATTTCTTCCTGACAATTATTTCCTTTGGTGGGGATTCCTGAACAAGACCGCATGATTTTAAAATTACAACATAATCAAGAAACATTTTTTTCATACAAATGGAATGCGATAACTTATTGCCATAGAATGTTATGGCTGTTGGGAGAAAAATGAGATCTTTAGTTGCTTGCTTTATCCTCAGTAATAACATTATGAATTGGAACAGAGGCAGAGAAGTCGAATCAAATGACTGTTCAATGTAGTACCATAGAATGGCAGAACAGGTTTAAGGGATTAGAATACTTGTTCCTATTCCTATGTTTCTATCGTATAAAATTGAATAACTGCTTTTCTTCAAACATAATTGGCAGTCTGCAATTGTTACATGTGCAATATTAAATATTATCTGACTCTTGATTTTATGTTTTTCGTAAAACATATGTTAACTTTTGGGGAATTTTATCAAAAATATGACTAAGGTCTATTAAATATTTTCCTTTTTGTAACAGATAATTTACTATGAGATTGGTTTCATCATCTGTGCGATTCTGGGAATTGTGTTTATTCTTCTCATGCCTCTTTTGGGCCTATGTTTCTGCATGTGTCGTTGCTGTGACAACTGTGGAGGGGAGCTGCATCAACGACAGAAGAAAAATGCAGATTGTCGAAGAAGCTACTTTGCAACAACCCTGTTTTTTGTTACCATAATTATAACGTAAGTTCGAACAGAAGCACATTTACATTCAAATGTTTGCATTTTCATTGCTAACAGTTGCTGTTGAAATTCACATCGAAAGACCTAATATTACCTTACACAGTTATTGCTTTAATTTCTCCCCACAATTATTTTTAATCTAAGGAGATTTTATTCACTTTCTGCTGAAGTGCTTTCCATGTCAGGTACGCATGCCAGTGTCAGTAAACAAGATGCTGACTAAAGTCTGTGTCTTGCCCAGGGGAACTCTACACAATATGGCCTCCAAATTATCTGAAAGATACATGTCCGTACCCCTCAGAAGTCTATCTGCACTGACTATGACGGAATTCTCTGAGAGATTTATTCTTCTGCTGGGCAATTACCCTGTATCTGGAACCGTCCAACAGTCTACCACTTTGTGTTTAGTTGAAATTCTCCAAAGTTTCCAACACTACTTAACTGGTTAATTAGCAGTAAATGTGAGACAGAAAAATTCTCTTGTAACTTCTGGATAATTATGCATCTGATTCCCTTCCTATAACTTCTCATTAAATTCACGTGACTGCTGAAACCCTCTTACCTGATCCAGCTGTCTCCCTGACCTGATTTACCTTATTACCTGTCTGCCACCCAACCATATCACACAGCTGCCACCCAAACTGCTCACTCAGCTGTCATCCTACCCTCGCATCACCTGTCACCCTACTCTCTTGCCCACCCGGCTACCCTTGTATCCAATTGCTTTACTTCTCTCTGTAGCTTCTTAACGATGCTTTGGGATGTTTAAACCTTGTTACAATACTGAAAAATGGTAGAAAGTGCTGTAAAAATGGGCTGTGTTTGTACAAGACTCTTTGCTGCTCCCTGAGAGGATTCCTGTCTGCAACTGTTGGAAAGGACCCTACATCAAAGACAGGCCCAAAAAAATCTGAGCCAATTAAGAATGGAATAGAATCCCTCCAGTATGGAAGCACGTCATTTGGCCCATTGAGTCCACACTGACCCTCTGAAGAGCATCCCACCCAGACTCACCCCCCTACCCTATCACCCCACATTTCCCATGGCTAATCCATCTTGCCTGCACATCCCTGGACACTATAGGCAATTTAGTATGGCTAATCCACCTAACCTGCACATCTTTGGACTATGAGAGTGAATCGGACCATCTGGCAGAACCCATGCAGACACAGGGAGAATGTGCAAACTCCATCCAGATAGTTGCCCCAGGCTGGAATTGAACCCAGCTCCAAACCGTTTCCCTCCACTTCACCTGACAAAGGAACAGTACTCTGAAAGCTTGTGATTTCAGATAAATCTGTTGGACTATAGACTAGTGTCATGTGACTTCTGACTGAGTAACATTGCTAATTAATGCCAAATTCATCGACTGTATTCTAGTGCCCACTAGAAAAAGGACGAAGAATTTCCATCACTTTGACTTGAATTTGAATGGATGTGTCATAGGTGAAACATCATTTGTTCTTTCCACTTGTAGTATCAAAGCAGGGTTCAGTGTTCAATCCTTAACTATTTACAATCCACATTAATGATTTTGATGAGGAAGTCTGTATTGTAGCCAAATTTGCTTAAGTTAGAAAGATGAGTAGGGAAGCGAGTTGTGAAGAGGACCTGAAGAAGTAAAGGGATTATTGAGAAATCAAGATTACAGAATTTTCTGAAATACACAAATGACATCATGATGCACTTTGTGTAAATATGTTTATGAAGGAAAGATCTGTTTGCCAAATATTGCTATAGATTGGTCCCTAATTTGAGCATAACACGATTTCAACTTGTTGATGATCAACAGTTGTGGTAGCCTAGGTTATTAATTGTGGCATTTATTCTTGATGAAAAATTCTGCAACTAAATTTTAACTCTCCTTTTCAAACTGGAATGTTCAGGAAAATTTCAAACCAAATGTCTTCCTTCTTGTTTATTTACGCATCTTGTCTTTAATGGAAACCAAACCTTCAGTCAATCTACTTTTGCTCATATAAATATCTCGAAACCAAAAAAAAATTTTACCAAAATGAAATGCCAATTTAATTCACTCTATGGGATATAATGAAATGTTTGGAGGCACTGGATACTGCAAAGGCAATGGATCCTGACAGCATTTTAAAAAAATATTGAAGACATGCTCCATATCTTGCTGCACCTTTGGTCAAGCTGGTCCAGTACAACTGCAACACTGGCATCTACCAGACAATATGGAGGATTGCCCAGGTATGTCCTGGACGCAAAAGCAGGACAGATCCAACCTAGTCAATTACTGCCTCATTAGTCTACTGTCAATCATCAATAAAGTGATAGAAGGCATTTGTCAACAGTGTTATCAAGCAGCACCTGCTCAATTATTGCTCAATTTTGATTCCATCAGCGTCACTCAACTCTTGACCTCACTACAGCCTTAATGGGAACATAGACTAAAAAGTTGAATTCCAGAGCTGAGGTGAGAGTGATTGCCCTTGACATCAAAACTACTATTGACTGAGAGTGGCCTCAAGGAGTCCTGGCAAAACTGGGGTCAAGGGAATCAGGGGAAAAACTTTCCACTGATTAAAGTAATACTTGGCACAAAGGAAGATGATCAGTCATTTCAGTTCCAGGACACCCTCAGGGTATTGCCCTTGGTTGAATCATCTTCAATTGGTTCACCAATGACCTTCCTTCCATCGTAAGGTCAGAAGTGGGGATGTTTGCCGAAGATTGCACAGTGTTCAGCATCATTTGTAACTCCTCAGATAATGAAGCAGTCGTGTTCAAATGCAGCAAGATCTGGACAATATGCAGGCTGGGTTTGAAAAGTGAGGCATAATAAAGTGACCTCATATAAATTTAGAGTGTCTCCCAAAAACGTTGCTGATTGTTGCGGACCACCTTAAACACCCAGTGGTCTTGCTCCATTTTGATAGCAATGACTTAGATGGGTAGAGAGATGTTGTCCTACTGTCAGAATCTGGGGAGATGCTTAAGAAATTAAAAAGCAGAGCTAAATTAGCAGATGAAACTTAGTACAGAAAAGTGTGAAGTTATTCATTTTGGCAGGAAGAACAGAGAAACAATGCAAAGGGTGCAGGAGCAAAAGAACTTTGGTGGTACTTGTGCAGGAACAGAAGAACCCTGGGTGTATATGTGCATTAGCCATTGAAGGCTATATTACAAGTTGAGAAAGTGATTAATAAAGCATATTATATACTAGGTTTTATCAATGGTGACAAAAGCAAAGAAGTTATGTTAAACTGTTAAAAAAAACTTGACCTTAATTGGAGTCTTGCATCCAGGTCTGGGAATCATACTTCAGGAAGGATGAAAAGATACCAGAAAGGGTGCAGAAAAGACTCACGGGAATTGTAGCAACTGTAATGAGGTCAGCCAGCTAGACCTCATTGAATATGAGCTCCCTGATTAGGACTGCTAATCTGGTCCAATCAGAGAGCCCTGACTGACAGATAAAAAGGGGTGCGACTGAGATTCTGCCACTTTGGTAGCTGAATCTGAAGAGGCAGTACTAAAGTCAAGGACTGTTCATGTTTAAATAAAGGCTGATTTGGTGACCTGATACCAGCTCCTGTGGAGTTATTTCAGTGGAAATGAGAATAAAGCACATTTATGAAGAAACCCACTTGCAACAATCTTCTTTGAGTTGGGGTAAGCATTTCTTACACATGCCTTTGTTTGAGAAGCTTGACTCATTTGACCCTGCTGCCAAGGAGTGGGCTCAGTATGTGGAAAGAATGCAATTTTTTTCCAGACAAATGACATTGTGGAAAATTAAAAGCAACAAGTAATTCTCCTTAAAGCCTGTTGAGCCACAATTTTTTCTGTTATTAGGAATCTCACATTCCCTGAGGCACTAGATACTAAAACATTTTTGGACTGGAGAGACCAACTCACAGTAGAGGATGGCATATTTTCATAGGAAGCAAGAGTGATTACCCCAAGCGAATGTTACTGCCAAATACTGGCTGAACTCCCCAGGGCCATCCAGGGGTCTCCAAAATGAAGATGTTGGTGAGAAGTTATGTCTGATGATCAGGCTTGGATGCAGACATTGCTGCATTGTTGGGGCAGTGTCCAGAGTGCCAACAAGGACAAAAATTACCGCCAGCAACTCCTTCACATCTGGGGAATGGCTGGGTACACCTTGGACTCGGTTGCATGTCGACTATGCAGGTCTTTTCATGAGTTCAATGTTTGTAGTCTTTATAGATACCTACTCAAGGTGGTTGAACGTGCATAGGGTCCATTCGTCAAACATGGGAACAATGATAGTAAAACCGCGCAGATCTTTTTTAATACATGGAGTTCCAGAAATGTTGGTCATAGATAAAGGGCCATCTTTTACCAGCAGGAAATTTGGGTATTTCCTAAAGTCGAATGGAATTTGACATATAAGGACAGCTCTATACCACCTATCATCCAATGCGTGGCAGAAAAAGCAGTTCAAACTTTGAAGCTGGCTTGCAGAAACAGCCTACAGCTTTGCTAGATACCAAGCTGTGATGGTTCTTGTTCAATTATAGAACCACCCATGCAACTACAGAGTTAGCATTGGCAGAGTTGCTAATCAGGAGAAGACTCCGCACCAGGTTAAGTTTGATCTTCCCAGACCTGGGGGAGGAATGCCAATCAGGAATGCCAATGCTGGACACAAGACTCTGCAAAACAAGAGAGACAGTTTGATACAGGGAACAAAGTTTGGTGTAAGAATCATGAAAATAGCCTTGCATGGGTAAGAGGCATGGTTGAAGTGAGGTTAGGACTAGTGACATATAAAGTTCAGGTAGGTGCAACAGTCTTAAACAAGCATGTTGACTATATGAAAGCCTTAAATTTGCAAACAGTGTGGACAAAATGTGCTCTGTCCTTCAGAAAGACTGCCAGAACTTGTGGGTTCACCTGCTCCGTCAAACATTGACAAGTTGTCAGAATCTGAGACCAAAGAGAGCCAATGGATGTTATCTACCTGGACTTCCAGAAGACCTTTGACAAGATGCCACACAGGAGACTGC